GTTGACCGCGAAGACTGAGCCTCACCCTTAATACGCCTAGGGGTTGCAATCCGCCCATCATCCCATTTAAAATTTTATCTTCGGATATCTTTCCTTATGAGGGTAATTTTTAAATATTTGTTGGGGGAAACTGTTTGCCATTAGACTCTAAAATGGTGGAAAAGGGTGTGATGTGCTTAGGGGTCAGCCAGAAGGGCAAGTGTCAGAGTTCAACCCTCTTTTCTGTTAATTTTTTGCCAGGGTCTCAGCTACTCTCCCTTCTCCCAATTTCAAATTTCAGCCCAAGTCTGTCTGGGTACAGTCCGTGCAATTTCGATGGGTTGATTTATTTTGAGATTGCAAGGATGTATGTAGGAAATTAATTAGCTCAACCTGGACTGCTTTAATGGATAAATTATAAATTTATATGCACATTGTTGGATATCATTATCATTCATTTGAAACCTCATGCATAAAATATGGAAAATCGAAATTTGTTAATTTATTATGGAAATTTGTAGTATTTCACTTTACCAATACACTTTTTTAATAATTTTAATCCTGAAATATTGCAGAAAACACCCAGGAGGAGCGCCCACAGGGGTCGCCCTGGCCGATTGCTTGGGTTCTTTATCCACACGGCTGCGAGGACTTCCTGTACGTCCGCTACACAACGGCGACCGAAGGGTCAATCAAGAGTGGGCCGGATGTGTGCTGTTACGGGGGTGCGGTGGGGTAGTTACAGATGGAAACTACGGGTGGAATTGGATGGCGCGCAACTTCTGGATATACTTGGGGGTGATATCTGATCAACGATCCTTTGTCAATGCCTGGCCACGCCTCAGAGCTATAAAGCTGCTGCCTCAGTCGCCGTCGCTGCCTCAGTCGCAGTCGCCGTCGCTGTCAGGCGTCGCCTGAAGGAATTTAATGCAATCAGCTCAAGGTTCTTCATTGGAAAATGGTGTAGGAACACGACAGGTACGAGCGCGTGTGTGTGCCTAATTCAACTATTACCAGAGGGACAGAGACAGAGAGGTTGTAATGAAAGGCAGGGAGCGAGAGCGAGAGGGAAGTATAGGTGCGAGCAAAGCACGCGCAAGGCAATTTACACTCATTATACATTTGTCATTTTACGAAATGCAAAGAGCAAACACACACACAAGTAGATAAATGTCCACACACATGTATAGGACGCAGCGCACAATCGTTCGCTCGCTCGCTCGCTCACACTTCGACGGCAGCGACCCCCCAATAACAAAACCCAACAACAATTGTGCCCCCAACGAGTCTGTGGCAATTAATTTAAGTCAAAAGAAAAGAAGAGTAGTCGAGAGGAAGAGACGTAGAGCGCATGCTCGGGTCGGGTCGGTCTGCTTTTTGTACAGTTGAACGTGCCAGGGTGAAAAAGAAACAAAGAAGACACACAACTAATAAGAAAAAACACGAGTGAAAGCAATTTCAAGTGGAGCCCAAAAAGAAAAAACCACACACACACACACGACAGTCGTTTGGCAAAGCTGAGAGCGAGAGAGCATTAATGCAAATATATCAGAGGGGGAGTGGGGAGGCGGCAGCAGAACCTAGCAAGCGTAAAAATAATATGGCGGCGGCTGAGAATCGGAAAAAAAGCAACGGTCCCATCAACATCAGCCAACGCGTGACTGCCCGCGACAACAAAAGCATAAGCAACAGCAAAAGCAAAAGCAAAAACAACAACATCGGCAATCATCGACGGAAAACGATGAACGCTTGTGGAGCAATGCGAATGGAGGGGGGAAAGACACAAGCCCACAGCAAAGCATGCATACAAATACACAAATACACACGGCATACAAAGAGGTTACAAAATGAAAAATGGAATGCCAAAGACAGGCACAGTGGGACACGGGAAGTTGGCACGGAGTAAAGAATATTAATGTACCATGATTCCTGCATATGATTCAGCAAGGTATGATATCATGTTGAAAAATATATTTGTAGTGGGTGATATATCTTTTATAACTTAATGTTGGAAATATATTCTGAAGCATCTGTGTGTTTTTTAGCGATTTATTTTGTAGAAACCCACTGTGCCACTGTGCTGACGCCAGTTGCAGTGTGTGTTGTTTGCAACGGAACAAAATAAATGCAATCCAATAACAATGGAGTGCAAGCCACTGTGCGACCGAGCGAGCCAGCAACAACATATTTCACTCTGGGCTCTCTGCTGCGCATACGCTACCCTCGCCCCTGCCGACTCTTCGGCTGTGATCGACAAGCAGAGCTAATAATAAAATAAACCCAAAGCCGAATGGAACGACCGAAGGTGTGGAATGGGAATAATGGGTAGCTGAGCGGTCGCGGCAAAGAGAGCAGGGTAAGCCAGGTAGGCCGTTGAGCCATAGCCACGATGGTGGTGGTGGTGGCGGTGGTGATAAATGCGAAGTGAAAAAAGAAGATGAAGTATAGCAGGCAAGCCAGCAGCAAGCTACAATCAAAGGCAGACGACAGGGTAGACATTCGAGTGTACAGACACAGAAAACTGGATTCGGTTGTGGATGACGATGAGAATTCTTCGGGGTGGTTGAGAGCGCGCACATCACACAGATACAACCAACACACATGTACGCCAGCTGTAGCCTCGTTTTCCTGCGTCAGTGTGTATCTGTGTGGTGTGGCTCGTCGTTTGTTTCTTTCCAACCCCAAACCAACGGATAGCGATAGCGAGCAGAGGCCTTCGCAGTCACACTTGTGGCTCGACTGCATTGCTTGTACTGCCATTCCACTCGCACCCCCGACTTTCGGTATAGAGAAAAGTTATCGCTGGGTTGCATGGGTGTGAGAGAAAACTGGTTTCGCATGCCCAGCTGCCCGCGTCGCACCGCCAGCCCCGCTCTCAACAACACCAACACCAACACCAACACATGCGCACTTCATTTTGTTTCGCAGCGCTGCTGCTGCTGCTGCCTCTGCCGCGGCTGCTACCGTGTGTTCCCACAAACGCTGCGCGCGTCACAGTCCTAAAATCCACTTGGCAGCGTTCGGTATTCGGTATTCGGTCTGGTCTGTGCTTCGATTCTGCAACGCGCAATCTCGGGAATACGAATACGCTGTTGCTGTTTGCCGTTCCATTAATTGTAAATAGTAGATACTTTTTTTAATTGTTTATAATGCAACGCAGAACTAGTGCTAGTGTGTGGCACAGAAGAAGTGAACGCTGAGGCAACAACACAAGAGAAAAGCCATGCCATGGTGTCGCGAAACAAATGTGTGTGCAGGCGACGCGTCGCTGCCGACGTATACAGACAGCGGGAAAGTGTATTGTGAGAGAGTAACCGTCGAATAAAAACAACAATCTCATTAATGCTGAGCGGCGTCTAGGGTTGTCGCCGTTAAATTTTATGTAAGATCGCGTGCACAGGTGCCTCTAACTCTGGCCCCGCGCCACTGTACCCCTAACATATTGAATACACTTGAAAAAAAAAAACGGGGGAACACTTGGAGAAGGAGCAGAAGCAGCACTTTGGCATGCAGCATATCGGAGACGACGCCGTCGTTTCTGCGGCGCATGCTCTGCTTCTGCTATTTTGCCCCCGCATTGTTATTATTCCCCTTTTCCCAAGCCGCTGGCAGTGCCCCTGCTGCTTTTTCTTCTTGCAACTGAATTGCTGTAAGAGCTGTGGCAGGCACACACACGCACACCTAGACGCAGAGAAACGCTTGCTCACACACACACAAGCACGCACACACATGGTCCAACAAAAACCAGTCTTTGAGCTGGAAGTTTGCCGTCTGCCCCATGCCGCATGCCGCATGCAGCCGGCCAACGTTGAAGATGCTGCGTCTGGCAGAGCGTCTGGCTGGCCTGGTCCCCGCGTACGATGATTCCGTTTGAGATTCCACTCCATCTCCATCATCAGGGTTGGAAAAGGGAATCCACCCTACCAGGCCACGCAAGCACCCACCCACCCCGAATGCCAAGGGCAGTCCTCAACCCTCATTCCTTAATCCCCCAACCATTCCATATTTTTTTGGTGGTCTTTTTCTCTGTTTTTATGCGTTTGTCGGGTGGTGGGTGGGCGGATGGAGAGACAGAGTGGCGTGGAGGGAACATCTATGGGTTATGAGAACTCTCATCAGCATTTATTGCTTCCGAATAATATGCCAGACCTGGGATCAGGAGCTGGAGCTGGGGCCGGAAACGGAACCGTTCCTATGGTCGGGTCAGCAACTGTCAGGATTTTGGCCACCGAAAGGCTGTCACCAGAGAGTCCCATTTCCTAATCAAACTCTAATTTAAGGCCGCGCAGCTGCGTTGCCATATTTCCTTTGCCCGCCGGAAATGTTGACTGCAATTGCAAATGCCAGCTCTCTTTCTCTCTCACCCTCAGACAGAGTCTATCTGATTCTGTTTGCTACTCAACACCCACTCCTAGACACATAACATGCTCTCTGTCGCTCTATCTCTCTCTGTCTCGATCCATCTTACTCTATTTGCCTGGCCCAGAAGTCCAGCATGTTGCCAATTTTCATAGGAGCGAGATGCAGGCGACTCCTACCTATAAATAGAAGGTGTCTCTGGGTGGGGTGTTATGGGTCTTTCTGTCTCTCTGTGTGTGTGTATGTGCTGCCTACTGACCTCTTTTGGCCGCACACAGGGATCGGATCACAGCACATTGTGTGGGTGGGTTGGCTGAATGTAAAGTGCGTTTAAGTAGGTCAAATTGCATTTGACGAATTGCAATTAAATGATGGTTTTTCTAGGGTTAATCAAACGAAATTTCGCCTTTCCCGGTGCATTAAATATGTGTGTGGTGTGTAAATGATCTCCGAAATTGACTTGGCCCAACAAACGTTTTTCTTCTTTGCTTTGGACTCTGTTTTCGTTTTCGTTGAAATGCATTTTTCAGCCTCTCCTTGTCTCACACACTTCGTTGCTGACTTCATTTCGCTTTGCTCTTTCCCACTGACGTCCCGTGTGCATTGCTGTTCTGAGCTCCACCGCTCTCTCGCTCTCTATCTCTCTCTCAGCACCAGCTGCTGGTGGGGTTGCCAACCTGTTTGCATTGCACATTGTATTTTTTGTGAGATTTTGGGGCAACAAGAGAGGTTATACGCCAAGATGAAGCATGCCCCGCGCCGTCGTACCCGTTCGAAGTGTGTATCTGTGCTTGTGTCTGTGTCTTCTGTGTGTTTCTGTGTGTTTGGGGGATTGTTTGTTTGTTTACTAACTTTGTGTGCTTTTCCTTTGTTCCCCCCACAGAGCGGACACGCAAACAGCATCGTCACCCCAGCCAGGAGGAGCCACCACGTTACCCCTCAAGGACACATCGAACATCAACGAGAAGCCGCTGATCACCAAGGAGCAACAGCGAACGCGAGCGCGACCGCTCCAGTCCCTGGAGACACTTGCCCAAAAGGCGGGTATCATCTTTGACGATTGCCAAGACTTGTCACAGCAGCAACAGCAGCAGGCAACACCAACCACAAAAAGGCAGAAGGGAAACGAAAACGGTGAAGGAGGTGGAAGTGGCGGAGGAGGAGGAGGAGGAGGAGGAGGAGGAGAAGAAGAAGAAGAAGAAGCTGGGACACCGCGCACTACACGTCGCTCCCGCACTCTCAGAACTGCCCCACAGAACCACCGACACAGCAGCAGCAGCCACAGAATGGAGAAGTCACAGAGCCCGGCCCAACAAGTGGCTTCCGCCACGACGGTGCCCCTGCAGATCTTACCAGAGCAGCTGCAGCACTTCTACGCGAGCAACCCGTATGCCATCCAGGTAAAGCAGGAGTTCCCCACGCACTCGGCAGGCACCACCACCACGGAACTAAAGCATGCGACCGGTCTGCTGGACGCCAGCCAGGCGAACCAGTTGCAGCAGATGCAGCTCCAGCAGCTGACGGCGGCGGCAGCCGATGCAGCCGGAGGAAACGGCTCTGCAGGTGGCGGAGCAGGAGGAGGAGGAGGCCAGGGTCAGGGCGGAGGTGCACCCAGTCCCGCGAACCAGCAGGGACAGCAACAACAGCAGCAGCAGCAGCAGCACTCGACGGCCATCAGTACGATGTCGCCGATGCAGCTGGCGGCAGCCACCGGCGGAGTGACCGGCGACTGGTCACAGGGTCGGACCGTGCAGCTGATGCAGCCCTCGACGGGATTCATCTACCCGCAAATGATGATCTCCGGCAACCTGCTGCACTCCGCGGGCCTCGGCCAGCAGCCCATACAAGTGATCACCGCCGGGAAGCCGTTCCAGGGCAACGGCCCCCAGATGATCACCACCACCACGCAGAACGCCAAGCAGATGATGGGGGGGCAGGGCGGGTTCGCCGGCGGCACCTACGCCATCCCCTCCAGCCAGTCCCCGCAGACGCTGCTCATCTCGCCCAATCTGGTCAACGTCATCTCCCACTCTCCGCAGCAGCAGCAGAGTCTCCTCCAGTCGATGGTCGCCCAGCAGCAACAGCAGCAGCAACAACAACTCAACGCCCAACAGCAGCAGCAGCAGCAGCAGCTGACGGCGGCGGCAGCGGCTCAGCAGGCGGTGGCCATGGCCAAGGCAGGAGTGGGAGTGGGAGCTGATGGTCAGGGCAAGATGCAGGCGCAGAAGGTGGTCCAGAAGGTGACCACCACCACCAACACGGTGCAGGCTGCGTCGGCAGGCGCTGGGGGGGCACAGGCGCAGCAGCAACAGCAGCAGCAGACCACCACCCAGCAGTGCGTCCAGGTCTCGCAGTCGACACTGCCCGGCGTGGGAGTGGGAGTGGGTGTGGGCGTGGGCGGGCAGCTGCTGAATCCGCTGGGCGGTGCCGGCGCGGGCCAGGCGCAGCAGATGCAGCTCGGTCCCTGGTTCTGGCAGAACGGCCTGCAGCCCTTCGGCTCGAACTCCATCATCCTGCGGGGCCAGCCGGACGGCACTCAGGGCATGTTCATACAGCAGCAGCCCACCACGCAGACCCTACAGACCCAGCAGAATCGTAAGTGGCATCCGCATCTCCATCCTCCACTGAAATCCATCCTAATTCCTATGCTTTCCACAGAGATCATTCAGTGCAATGTGACCCAGACACCTACCAAGCCTCGCACCCAGCTGGAAGCGTTGGCCTCCAAGCAACAACAGCAGCAGCAGCAACAACAGCAGCAACAGCAGGCGGCGGCCAACAGCCAAGCGCAGCAACAACAACAACAGCAGCAGCAGCAGCAGCAGCAGCAACAACAGCAATTGGCGGTGGCCACGGCCCAACTGCAACAACAGCAGCAACAGCAACAGCAACAGTTGACGGCCCTGCAGCGTCCTGGAGCACCGATTATGCCCCACAATGGGACGCAGGTGCGCCCGGCCAGCTCCGTGTCAACGCAGACGGCGCAGAACCAGAACCTGCTCAAGGCCAAGATGCGGAACAAGCAGCAGCCTGTCCGTCCGGCGTTGCCGGCCCTCAAGACGGAGAATGGTCAGGTGGTGGCGGTTGGCGCGGTGCAGAGTAAAGCACTGGGCGTGGGCCAGCACATGGCTGCCGTCCAGCAACAGCAGCAGCAGCACCAGCAGCAACAACAGGCGAACCTCCACCAGGTGGTAACCGCAGCGGGAAACAAGTGAGTGGACAGCAGAAGCAGAGACAGCAGTCAGAGTCACCATATCATATTCATCCGTTACCTTCGCTCTTCTTTTCCCTTGTAGGATGGTCGTGATGAGCACGGGCACGCCGATAACCCTGCAGAATGGCCAGACCCTGCATGCAGCCACTGCGGCCGGAGTGGACAAGCAACAGCAACAGCAGCAGCAGCTGCAGCTCATGCAGAAGCAGCAGTATCTGCAGCAGCAAATGCTCCAACAGCAGATAGCTGCCATCCAGATCCAGCAGCAGGCGGCAGCCCAACAGCAGCAGCAACAGCAGCAGCAACAACAACAGCAACAGCAGCAGCAGCAGGCGGTTGCCCAGGCGCAGCAGGATCAGCGCCAACAGGTTGCACAGGCACAGGCACAGGCGCAGGCCCAAGCTCAGGTACAGGCGCAGCAACATCAACAGCAGCAGGCACTGGCTCAGCAAATACTCCAGGTGGCGCCCAACACCTTCATCACCTCCCACCAACAGCAGCAGCAGCAGCTCCACAACCAATTGCTGCAGCAACAGCTCCAGCAGCAGGCGCAGGCCCAAGTGCAAGCTCAGGTTCAGGCCCAGGCACAGGCACAGCAGCAACAGCAACAGCAACAGCAGCAGCAGCAGCAGCAACAACAGCAGCAACAACAGCAACGGGAGCAGCAGCAAAACATCATCCAACAAATTGTGGTGCAGCAGGCGGGTGGAGCGGGCCAGCAGCAGCAACAGCCACAGCAACAGCAAACGCAGGCGGGACAATTGCAGCTGAGCAACGTTCCCTTTTCGGTGTCCTCGACTACGACGCCCGCAGGTATAGCCACGTCGAGTGCCCTCCAGGCCGCCCTCTCGGCCTCCGGCGCCATTTTCCAGACGGCCAAGTCGGCCAGTAGCAGCTCCTCTCTGCCGACCAGCAGCGTAGTGACAATAACAAACCACTCAGCGGGTCCGCTGGTCACAAGCAGCACGATGGCAGCCAGCATCCACCAAGCCCAGCTCCAGCAGCAGCAACACCAACACCAACAACAGCAGCAGCAGCAACAGTTGATCTCCGCCAGCATTGCAGCAGCCACACAACAGCATCAACAACAGCAACAACAACAACAGCAGCAACAACAACAGCAGGGACCACCCGCTCTGGCGGCTGCGTCGCCCTCACCCGCCACAAACCCCATAATGGCCATGACGTCCATGATGAACGCCACAGTTGGACCTGTCAGCAGCAGCGGTGTGATGCCCTCTCCGGCAACGCTGGTCGCGTTCAGCGCTGCCAGTGGAGGTAGTCATCCGGCGACACCCACCAAGGAGACGACGCTGAAGATGCCCACACCCACCGCCACCCTGGTGCCCATTGGGTCACCTCTGAACAGCAGTGCCGCTAGCCAGGATCACCACCAGCAGACATCGTCTGTCAACACCACGCCCAAGTCCGCTGCAAGCGGCAATGTCAGTGTCAGTGCCAGTGCCAGTGCCAGTGCCACAGCAGAGGCCAGTAGCTCCACGAGTGACGCCCGGGTGAATGGAGAGGCCCCGGAGGCGTCTCACAGCAGCACCAGTAGCAGCAGCAGCACCACCACCACGCCCACGAAGGCCACCACCACAAGGCAGAGCAATGTGGTGCTGCCCACAAGTAGCTGCAGCACCACCAGCAGCACCACTAGCTCCACGCACAGTGGGAAGGATGCTGGCAAGGGCGGAGCGGCAACAACCACGAGCATCAGCAGCAGCAGCAGCAGCAGCAGCAGCGGACCTTCGACGACAACCACGACGACAGTCAGCAACGGGATTGGGCTAGGCAGTCTGGGCAGGACAGGGAGCACCACTGTGACAACCACAACGACGACCACCAGCAGCAGCACTGCGACGACTACACCCACAACCGCAACAACAACTACAACGAGCATAAGCAATGGGAGCAATGGGAGCAATGGGAAGGATCTGCCGAAGGCAATGATCAAGCCGAATGTGCTGACCCATGTCATCGACGGATTCATCATCCAGGAGGCCAACGAGCCCTTCCCTGTGACGAGGCAACGCTATGCTGACAAGGACACCAGCGACGAGCCGCCAAGTGAGTGTTCTACCTTCCATCCGTCCATCCTGATACTAATCCCTGTTCTGCTCTCTTTCCCTCACAGAGAAAAAGGCTGCCATGCAGGAGGACTCGAAGCCATGCGGAATAGCCACTGGAACTCCAACCACAACCACAGCAACCGCAACAACAACCCCAACTCCATCCCCAACAGCAGGCAGTGCGACGGACATGGTGGCCTGCGAGCAGTGCGGCAAGCTGGAGCACAAGGCGAAGCTCAAGCGGAAGCGCTTCTGTTCCCCAGGCTGCGCCAGGCAGGCGAAGACTGGCGTCGCAGGCATCTCGGCATCCAGCGGAGTAGGAGTGGGAGTGGGAGAGAGCAATGGAATGGGAATGGAAATGGAAATTGGAGGAATTGTGGGAGTGGATGCGATGGCGCTGGTGGACAAACTGGACGAGGCCATGGCCGAGGAGAAGATGCAGATGCAGACGGACGCACTGCAAGCGCTGCAGTCCACGCCGCTGTCCCTTATGCCATTGTCAAGCAACGCGGAGCCATTGTCAATGCCACTGCCACTGGTGTCTTCCTGCCTTCCTGTCCTGCCAGTCATGGCAGGCACCCCCGTTCCAGTCCCTCCCCTAGTTGCAGTCGCACTCACAGTTCCGGCTCCCCCTCACGTGGCCCTGCCTGCGGCTCCGTCTCCGGCTCCCACACCTCCAGCGGCAGCGGTGGCGCCCCAGCCACCAGTGCCAGCAGCAGCATCCTCATCCTCCTCCTCCTCCTCCTCTTCGAGCGGAGGCGAGCGTTCGCCCATCTGCAACTGGAGCGTGGACGAGGTCGCTGACTTCATACGGAATCTGCCGGGCTGCCAGGACTATGTGGACGACTTTGTTCAGCAGGAGATCGACGGCCAGGCGCTGCTGCTGCTCAAGGAGAATCACCTGGTGAATGCCATGGGCATGAAGCTGGGCCCCGCCCTCAAGATTGTTGCCAAGGTGGAGTCCATGAAGGAGGTGGTCCCGGCGCCGGGCTCTGGCGATTCCAAGGAGGCAACGGCAGCGGGAGGAGCTCAATAATATCAGCCTGATGCTCCAGTCGATGCCATTGTCGATGCTGACGAAGACGGAATGCCCATGCCCCCCTACGCGCCATCTCCGCCACCATTCTCGCTGGTCCGCCTCCGGCTTACGTACGGATCGAGGCAGCGAGGCGATCGAGGCCAGATTGAAGTTTCAGAGGGAACTGGACTACGATACGAAGACGCGTCCTTGCCGGTAGACGTGAACGTGGAAGTGGAAGAGGCAGAGGCGGACAGGCAGCTGTACACCCGGTCCAACCAGGTGCTGCGTCAACAGCAGGCACGAAGAGCCACAGGGCTGTCGCCATCTGTATACTATAGAGCATAGACTTAGCAGCCGAACGGACAGCCAATTGTCCTTCCATCAATTGTACAGAGTTCCAGACATTTAGGAGACTCTAGGCGCATACACCTACTCCAAAATCATACTATTATATATATAATTTTACATACAATTGTACAGATAGCGAAAGATTTCACTTTTAGGCTTACATTTATTTATTCGAAAATTGTAAATTCCTGGTCAATGCGGACTCATCGTCTGCGACCAACCAATTTCGCGCTGTAGCGATTAAATTAAACAAAAATTGTAAATTTAACATTCATCATTGTGACAGCGCATAGGATATCGATCACCTGAACTTTAATTAACAGCATACGGTTATGCTTATAGAATGTAACTATTTAATTCTAGCATTAAGTCAAACCTATTGTGTCGTCTTTTGCGTTAAACCAAGCTCACTTACACTACATTTACATACACTACATAAATATGTTTAAAGTTTAAACAAAACTCAAAACTGACAACTCAAAACGCATCCACGTTCTGTACAGCTTCTAGAACTAGTATTTACAAAATGTACCCTAGGTTCCAGTATTTAGTTGTATTTATTATAATGCCTAATAAGTCTTCTTTTTTTTTTTACAACAAACTTCCTAAAGCAACCAATTTTTTTTCTATTTGCTAAACAAAATATAAAATATCACTGTAAAGTGTTTCAAAGATATTTCACGAGTTTGCTATGTGGTAATGGAGGGAGCCAAAACGATTGCCAGGGGGAGGCAATTCTGGCATTACTTCACAATTTCGGATACTCGAAATATAACATTACATTTATATTCGATCAAGTAGATTAAAATGAACTGATGGTTTCGATACCCATGAGCAGATCCAACATTAGTTACTTTTGCTGTTCGGTTCCTTCAAGTAGATACATTTTCCACTGCGACGAACACAACTGTACCAAAGAAAGCCTCCAACCCGCACAAAAGAAGCGCCTCATGTTGCCGGAACTGCGGCCACTGATTCATGCGCTAGCAAACATACTCGTATATGGGATAAATGGAAGCTTGTACCAGCACCAGCAGCAGCAGCAGAAATGCTTCAAATGTTTTCGGAGCTTGGCACATCCATAGAGCACAGCACAAAATCCATTTAGATCGGTCGAGCAGCAGTACCACCGAAGAACCAAAATACGGATTTCCCCGTTTTGTGTAAATTCCGACCCAAACGCACACACAAATAATATGACACAAAGATTGGTTTAAGCTATTGTGAAAATATTTGTTTATTTTTGTTAAAATTTTTCTTGTATTTGGGAAAGTATTTTTGAAGTATTTTGTATGCATAAATGATTCTGTGGATTTGCCACCTGCCCTGCTAAACAATCCACAAACATTGCTGATTGGTTTATTATTATTATTATTATTTGAAAGATTTTCATAGCTTTATAATAATCCTGTTCGAACGTTGATTTAGATTATTTTAAAAGTTTTTATTTTCAAGCTTGGTAGTTTTTTGGTTTTTGTTTCTGTTTTTATTTTGCTTTTGTTGGTAAGGATTACGAAATTGAAAGTATTTCCTGTTCTATATTAGTACATACATATATCTGAATAATAATGATTAGCCCCGGGGAGCTGAATGCCAAATCCCATTGATATTTGCCTTCTAAATGGACCAAGATATTTAGTCTGTAATTCTCACGCTCTCAGACTCGTTGAGATTTGGGTATTCAGAGTGTGGGACATAACTCACAGAATTCACTCCCAAGTCCTGTATCCTGCTTTAGTTGTACAAAAAAAAAAAAAAACAAAACCAAAATGAAATTTCCAGGGAATGGCTTGGGATTGAACTTCCTATCTCCTTACGTTGTTTCACAACACTGCTCTCTATCTAAAATTAAAACATAATAATAAAAACACAAAAAACATAATAATCAAGTAATCAATTTGTATGTCTTCTAGATATTCTCATTAGATATTATTATTATTATTATTATAATTATTATTGGTGTGATTCGTTAGTTATTTATTATTAGTTTCGTAATTGTTTAATTGTTAATTAAAGCCAATTTGCATTTTTGTTTATTGGAGTCTATATTCAAATTTGTTAAGCGCTTTTCAAATATGCTCGACTCCTCGTCGTTCTCGTTCTCATCCTCATTCTTCATTCTTCATTTTCGTTCCTCATTCCTAATTCTGTTGTTTTTATTCGTAATTAAAATTTGTCATTTGTCTTAGAAAATACTTGGATTGATGTATGTATATATGTTTGTATGTATGTATGTATGTATATCTGGTATGGATCAGTTGTTGTATATGTAAATATGTAAATGTCTGCTATGGTGTATATATATTCAGTATATACGCTTGCATAATTGGTCAGATGTTGTGGCATTATTGAATTGTACATTCAGTAGTTGATTAGTTTATTATTTTGTCTTTATCTTTACCTATCCCTTTCAGTTCTACTCTGCCTCAGCATTTGAAAGCCTCTTCAAATTGTTTTACCCTTTACCATCACCCTCCTCACCTCACATACCCCACTATTCACGATCATAAGTACGTATCAATTACCATTATTATTATATGTAATTTATAGTTTTTAGTTTTTAGTTTTTATTTGTATTTACAGTTGTGTTTTATGCATTTCAAAGCAAACAAAATGTCACAGCCGTACTCCTCATTATTTGTTTGTTTGTTTGTTTTGCATTTTTTCCCATCTGTTGCTTTTCCTTCCACTGAACTGAAAAATTTTGATCGGAGATACTTACACATAGGCATCTCTCGCCCGATTTCCAATTGGTTTATGATTATCGCTTCGATTCGAGTTATTTTTGTTGTTTGTTCTGCTAGTGATTAAGGGTGTTGTTGTTGTTGTTGTTGTTGTTGTTTGCTGGTCCTGCTATACGAGTATCTCTAAATTTAAATCACTAACTATGCATACATATAGTATTACGAATATATCTGTATATATATTTATTGAAAGAGACGGGAGAGGGCTTGCAGAGAGAGAGAGCGAGAGCTTGCTCGAGTGAAACGAAACGAAAACTATTCGAAATCTCCTGCCCTTAGTACTTATCTATTAAGCCTTTGCCTGCTCTGATTATGCACTTGATTTACTTATTAGAACGGAGGACAATAAAAAAGAAACGAACCAATGAATGGGGCAGCATAAATGATGAATACATACATATAGTAAGGAGATTTTTATCGATTTATTATTGGACGCTCAACAGCTCTTTACCTTGGGCAATTTGTTATCTTAAACATTCTTCACCTACTAACTATTTATTCCCTTTCCTATTACCTACTTGATATAAGTGTATTTTAGAATTTGATTCAATTTGTGATTCAAGTGTGACATGTGACATGTGACGTGATGTGCCGTGTTATGTGCTGCTGTCTGCGGTTTTGTGTCTTCTTTAGCCTATGATAAAATTAGCACCAATGCAATATTCAATGATTCATTCATTCACTCGCCGATCTCGGACGTGGTACATGTTTGTGTTCGTTTGGTTTTCATATTTGTTGTTGTTTTGTTTTTCAATATAAATGTGTGTTGTATATTGGAAAAAATGTTGCCAAGATATGTGTAATTTGCTACAATTTTCATCTAGAGATGAGGCGACTTTCAACGACGATATTCCTTTACCTTTACCAAAACTTTTTGCCACTAAACCTCTTCTATGCATATATCTAAGTACATATTTATTATAATTTTGTTTCGAGATGAAAAAACGTTTTCTAAGCGCAAGTGTTTTGTTGTGTGTGTTTTTTGACTATGTGTGTGTGAGGATTACAAAAAAAAAAAGAGATTCCCTTTTCCACTTTCATTTTCATTTCCATTTCCATTTCCATTTTGTGGGCTAAACACTAATCAACAACGTTTCCGATACACTGAGCTATATGCTCGATGCATATCCATATCCATATCCATATCCATATCCCTCGATTTATGTACCATTTATAACTATGAAATCTTACATGCTAGAGACTGTCTTATTCGTTCGCTTGATGAGTTTGTTCTGGTTGCTTGGTGTTGTCCTTTCTCCTATACTTTATTCCCTTTTTGTTTCATTGTGTAAATAAGTAAATAAATGTCTATGTTTTATATGCTAGAAATTTGCTCTGGCTTTCTTTTGTTTTTGTTTTTTTTTTTGCTACCTATCGATTCGGATCACACTGCAATTGCTTATTGGGCGAGGAGAGATGAAAGAGAGAGGGGGAGTTAAGGTTGCTTGGTTGCTTGGTTGCTTGGTTCTCGGCGTGCATCCGGAAATGAATAATTATTGTACCTATTTAAGTCTGGGGGATATTGAGTTGAAAACCTACGCCTCCGCGGCACCTTCCCTTGCCTCTATAAGGATACACCTATACGTAAGTACATACACACATGTACCATATGTTATAATAACTCCATAACTTGTTTGGTTTTGTCTATTACATTGTAATAAGTTGTCTGAGAGTTCTACGAGTTTTGTTCGCTTTTTGTGGTTTTTTTTTTTAGTTTCTTTTTGAGGAGCAACACAAATTGAGGGCTATCTGAGTTGGAAATTCATTCTTTTGTGAGTTTTTTGTTTGTTTGTTATTAAAAATTGGTTTAGCTACTGCCACTGCCCGCTGGCTCTATGTCTTCAAGTTATAAGTTGAGGAAGCTGTTGCCGAGGAAGCCGAGCACTATGGAGGACATGGCCAGCGGGGCCAGTCGCACATTCGTGGCGGTGCTGTTGCCAGCCAATATTTCCGCACGTTTCCGCATGCGCTCCTGCCAAAACAATCGAAAATATTAGCCAATCAATTAGATGAGATCAAAGATTATATTTTATGGATGCACCCACCTGATACAGCTTATCCTCGCCAGGCGGATCGAGGCACTCGAACTCGCAGCAACGTTCACCAACTCGAAAGTTTTTGCAAAACTACACAACAAATGAAAGGAAAATTGAAGTACAGGAGAGGGGTAAGCAATGTGGCACTTACGTAGGGCGGATCACAGTAGATGGCCTTGCACCAGAGTGGCTCAGAGTGATAGCAGACACACAGGCTGCAAACACCGGGCCCGGGCACATACAGCATGCCATGGTTGACCTTGTTGCCCTGAAAGTCAACACAGTCCTCCTCCAAAGCATCTGCGGGAGACACAAGCGGAATACATATATAGAAAATAGAATTAAACGAAATGCCTAGCGATAGCCGTTGAAGCTTAATCAATTTGCCAATGCTCCACTTTAATACGGCTCTAGTACGGCCTGATGGCTGATGGCTGATCTCCCCCCTTACTGGTTCAGTGGCTATCAATTTGGAATGGCTTTCGGTTCAGCCAGCCATCAGGGTTCACGTCGCACGATCCGTCAGCCAGATAATACGTGTTTTGCGCAGTTTTCAGCTCGATTCTCGATGCTGAAGGCGACTTATTGAGACAGATTGAAATAATGATTTCGTCTCTGCTTGGGTTTAATGAATGAATGAATTTTGCTCTAGCTCTAGCTAAGAATTTTAGTGCAAATTATGGAATTTATTTGTTAATTGCAACAAACCAAACTTGCAATGGCTGGCAGATTCCTAGGAGATCGATTAAAGTTTGTTTTTAAATTGTTTAATTAAAAGATGCTTCTAAAATGGGACATAAATCTCTGCTCCTGCCCGCAGCATCTCGAAAGTGCCAATCCTAATGGGTTTTTAGTGCAGCAGTCGAGACCTTTAAACTTTCTGAATTATTTATGTGAGTGAGGGAGTGTGGGGAGGAACATACAATACATATGTAGCCCGTACATAAATGAGCAAGTGACTCGTGTACTCGTATGTCTAATGCCAGTCCGGACAGTTTAACTGGGCATGGGCATGGGCATGGGCAAAGCAGGGCATGGCTAGCAGACTGAATGACAGAATGACACACGATGAGTGAGCCAGACAAGCAGCAGATCTGCAAGGGGTTGCATTTGGAACGGGCATGGGTTACAGGCTACTGATGAATGGGTCAAGGGGCACACCACACACAGGGGACACAAAAGTATTCATGTGTGTGCGTGTGTGTGTGCTGCTTTGCTTTCGTTGCAGGCAACTTTTAAATGAAGCTTTAAAAGCTTTCTGTTTGACTGCAAACATAAAACGGTTGCGGTTGCAACTCTGATGTTGCTGCTGGGTTCGAACACAAACATGGTTACGTCGTAGGGGGGGGGGGGGAGTTGCGGGGCCATGGGCGTACGGAGTACTTGAATGGGTCGCGTGCGAGTAGTCAGCGGCAAACTGCAGTAAACTTTTTCCTTTCACTATTCCTCCTGCTTCCACGCTTTCCCCTGCTATTTTTCTGCTTTTGTGCCAAAACTGGTAAAGCAGTTGGACGAGGGAAGCAATGGGAAGGGGAGAGTGTTGTGCTGCTAGGCCGAGGCGACATTTGGGCGGATGCTGCTGCTGCTGCTGCTGCTGCAGTGGCTTGTTCACTTTATTTGTTTGCCTTGCGCCTCGTTGCAGTTCCAACCCAACCCAAACCCAACCCAACCCAACCCAACAGAACCCCTGCCCTAGCCACACGTTTCCCCATTGCGGCCAGCTTTCGCACGTGCAAGTGCGCCTGGCCCGTTCTCCTATGCCCTTTATGCCCTTTCAAGATCGCCCAAAGCCCAAATCCACTGCCTTACCGATGCAATGCCAGACAGAGAAGTGAGTGTGAGTATTTGGAAAATTGTAAAATAAAATTGTTAGTTGTTGGCTTTTGTTGTTGAATTGTGTTCTACATGATTCCAGGGCAAGTTTCAGAAGCCTCAGCGTCAGCGTGCGGCATGTCAACATTTAGCGACAGTAAAAGCAACGCTTGGAATTTGTTTGTGTAAGAGCTGCTTGAATAATTAAAAGCCAGCGCACTCTTGACTTTTGTGCCCAGCGCCAGCTGTCGCCCAAACAATTTAGCTGTGTCCTGGGTCAAAGTTTACCACCCCCCTGAACACACCGAACCACCTCCGAACTAACCTTCGCAGGTTCCTTTGTGCTCGCGGAAACTGCATTTCATGGCAGCCAGGTGCAGTGGGCAAAGCTGAAGCTAAATCTGCGGCATGCAGCATTATTTCACAATTATGTTTATTACTTTTTAATGCTTGGCTCTCGCACTTCCAGCACCTGAGCCAAGCACCACTCGGACCGGGAAAGGGGCCGGACCCAAGCACTGCCTGCAGGCTACACTGTGCGAAATGCCGCAAGATTTCGATGGGAATTAATGGTGCAGGAGATCTTAGATTTAAATTAAATTTAATGTACCCATATGGAATATCCAATGGCAAATAAATTCCCACTCCCCACCCGATCTTTGGTGCATTTTCTATTTGGTTTTCAGTGTGGTCTTGAACTGGGTGCGGTCTGCTGTGATGCGGTGGTACGCTGCCAGGGCCGCGGCTTACTTATAAATAGCTTTTGTTGTGACATTTACAAGCAGCACACTGGGGCACCCCTGCACCCCTGCAGCCCCGTGGCCCTGCAGCCCCACATCCTGCTCGAGTGGCAGCAGAGTTTTCGGGGAGGATGGATTCATCCGAAATGCGACCCCAAACAGGGAGCAAAGCGTCCTTTGTGCTATTTTCGCTTAAAATCAATGCTTCCCCCCGCAGCCCCCCAGTCAAAACTGCAATTTGGAATATGTAGATATTAGTATCGATGGTCGAATTCGATCTAATTAAAGCCGCATTTTCCACTCACTGAATGCTGACACAGGCAAAGTGATGGATTAGCGTTTGTACATAAATACATACATATATGTATGTAAAAATGTATACCTACATTCCAGTTGGCATTTAATTGCTCATCGGTGTTCTTTTGAATGCGTACATAGACAACAATTTAATTGTGATTCTGAGTTCATGTTCAATTGTGTCCGATGCTGCACTCTGCCCCTGCATTTGATATTGATTCATATCGTTGACGATTCAATTGCACAGATAAAATGGCAATCAATTTGGTTTCAATGTATCAAGTTCCAATGTTAAATGCAATACAATTTTGCATTCTATTCGATTTAAAGGGGGGGGGGGGGGGGCAGACGACGTTTTGTCAAGGCCTTTTGCAAGTGCGCCGCTTCCTTTCTGCCATGAATCAATTTTACCTTTTTGACACTGGCAACTTTTTTCCAACTGTCCGAGAAGCATTCTTCAAGAATTTTCAATTTCATTTGCCAGTCAGCAGTCGGTAGTCGGCAGTCGACAGTCGGCAGTCGGCAGTCGAGTTGCAGCCACTTCAATGCTGCCAGCAGCAACAACAAAATTAAATCAAATGCCATTGCTGGTTGCAGCCTTGTTTGTTCCCTCACAAGCGTCCATAAATGCCTGACAATTGTGGCCAGGCGCAGGGTGGCAGTTGTGTCACAGCAACGTAGGGGGTGTGGGCAAGTGGCAGGGTCATGGCGGCTTCGTTGAGTGAGTGCAGCCATCAGGTTTTTGTACTCCTCCTTCACTTTGAGTAGAGCTTCTGCCAGCTGCCTGCTGCCTGCTGCCTCCTGCCTGCTTCTGTGGTTCCCGCACACGTGAGCGTTGCACAATGGGCACAGAGTGACAAAAGCACTTCATAATTTGTCATTTTATTTCGCTATTAAGTCAGGTATATCCATGACATTACCACGAATCAAATATCCTGCGTAACGTCGTTCATTTTCTTTTGTTTAACCCATAAATATATTTTTGGGGTATATATTTTGAAATTTATTGCAAATGCTAAGCATGAGGAAGCTCATTGTAGAGCTTATATTTTGTGGCAATTACATGACTGAAGGTACTCCTCATATACATATAAAAGATAGCTCCATCTGCTTGTGGTTTTCTTCGAACTACTTGGTCCAAAATTTTTAGTTTTTTTTGGTTGGACTTTTGCCAAGAGTTTGGCTGCGGGTGAGCGTGCCCACTGTTCGCTGCCTGTTCCCCACTAACGAGACATTCTTGGCTGTCTTTGAGTCTTGCTGTCTTTTCGTCCCACCGTCTTTCTGTCTCTGTGTGTGTTTTTATTTGAGCAGCAGAAGCAGCAAAGAAGAAAAACAGAAAACAAGGAAGTGCTCGTCGACTTTTGTTTTGGCCATGGCTTTTGGAATACTGTTAACGGAACCAAAGATTATAAAACCATTATGAGTGTGTCATGTGGGGAATGGAATGGGGGTGGGGGTGGTGTTGGTGCTGGTGCAACGTAATTAGCACGGCCACTGTGCTTGTGTCTCAGTGTCTTTGTCTACCCATTTGTGCCGCACACATTTTCACTGGCTGGGCGCACGTGTCGTTGGCAGTAGGAAGGAAATGCAGGGAGGGGCGTGTTTAGCATCACAGATTGTGGCCCCGATGCAGGCCTGGGATTAGACAGTGAATGATTTGATTGCCCATCTGATTGCATCGTTGAGCATAATCAACCCCTGGTCAGGGACAGCACACTCGATGGGCTGAACGGCCTATCAGCACACAACGGTCGATTGATTGCACACCATCCAGCACCGAGCAGCCAGCACCTAGCCACCTGACCCATTGTAAGTGTAATTAGCTGGAACCCAATCGATTGATCGCCGGACTGTGACAGGGTTGGGGCCCCACTTTATATAAGCCTGCGCTTAGCGATGAACCACCCAGAGTGCAATTAATGAGCCCGTGGCGCCTCTAAGCAGGCTACAGAATGCCTCATGATGAATGGCCAGCGCGCATAAGGATACAATCTGCAATGTTCATAAGTCGCTAGAGCTTTACTATTTGGGCGTTCTCAACAAATGGGTTATTCCAGCAGGATAGGGCTGTGGCTGTGGTGGAGTGGCCTGCATTGCATGTGCAAAGTCAAGGCTGTATACAAATATTGAAGCTAAAACACCAACACGCCCACTCCACGCTCCACACTCCGTACACTCTGCCAGATTTCACCTTAGCCCTTTGACACTCGGCAAAAGCAAACGAGTTTGCTTTGCCCATGACTCGGCACTGGCTGGCACATAAAAACGAAAACAGGATCATCAAATTTGATGGAGTACTCTTGGACACAGTGAAGACTCTTGCGAGACGGCCCAAGTCTTCTAGACTAGGATCTCTATCGAAAAGGGTGTAGCTCGGATTGGAGGAATTTATGTAAACGTACACAAGGCTTTACTCTTGCCCATATCCAGTGTCCTTCACCTTGACACTAGAGAGGATTTACTGTAATAATTTGATTGCCAACTGCCGACTGCCTCCACGAAAAAATAACAGTCGCCGACAGGCTGCCTGCCTTCCTGCCTGCCTGCCTGCCTGCCAATTGTGTGACTGTACATAGTCGCAGAAAATAAAAATGAATAAAGAGGGAAATATTTTGCATTTACTCTTCGAATCTTTAGCTATTGTTCCGCCTGCAAATGGCTGGCTCTTCCAGTTCTAATGCGTGACGGGTGACGTGAATGTAATTTTGTTTGGTGAATAATCAGCCAGAACCGGGCTCCATTCGATGAAGGTTGCGACATGAAGAAGTGGGGCAAGAGCCCCATGCATGGAGGGGGCAGGGCATGCAAATGAGCGGCAAACAAAAGCCGTTAAGTGCGTGTGTTTCATTTTTTGTTGCCAAGATCCGCCAGCCAAGAGTGTGGGAAAGTAAGAAAATAAAAGAAAAGAGAAGTAAACCAAGAGAGGTTCCCACGATGGCAGCTTCACCCAGAGCGTGCTCATAATCGGTACACCCCATGCTAGAGGGTATTTCAAATATAAATTGTATGGCGGGGCGCTCACTAATTACCTGTGAAGGGGCAGAGGCAGCCGAGCAGACAGAGCAGGGCCAAGAGCAGCCAGGATGTCGCATTCGATGGCAGCAGCAGCCACAGCGACGTCATCGTTGGCATCGTTCTCTCTCCCAGTCGTTGTTGGCTGATGCCCATGCCCGCTCCCGCTCCCGCACCAGCGCCCGCTCTCGCTCCCGTCTCCGTCCATTGGGTGCAGCATGCTCGTTGACGACGTCGCCCTGTCGTGTCGAGCCCATTGATTGTTGTGCTCCTTCGCCCTCTACTTGCTGCTGTTGTAATTGTTGGTGCTATCCTTGTTGCTTTTGTTGTTTTGATTGGAATCGCTTCTGCTGCTGCTGCTGGTGCTGCTTCTGCAGCTGGTACGGCCTCTGCCTCAGTCTCTGCTTGGCCTAGTGGGCGCCGCCACGTCGCTGCAGCTGTCATTGTCAGGCGTTGATTTTGAACTTGGCGGCGGCGTGTGGGTGCTGCACACTGCTTTACGGCTGAAGCCACTGCACTGCTTCCTGCACTGCTTCTCGTGTGTAACTGTGTGTGTGACAGACGACAGATTATTGGAAACGATTATTGACCCAGTGGCTACCACGTGCAGTGAGCAACTAATGGAATGCTTCTGACCAACTGCTAACTTTTACTCATTCTTTTTTTTTGTTGCTCTAGCACGAGCACATTGTGTGCCACTGTGCGATGTGGCTGCTTGTGTCGACAGATAGTTTTTGGCAGGCAGGCAGGCACCCCAACCTCCTCCTCTCTGGCGCTGCCTGTGCAGTGTATGTGTGTGTATGTTGTGTGTGTGTGTGTTGTCTCGTTCTGGCCTGCAGTCCGAAAGGGGATCAGCTGTTTAACGGGTTCGTTGTTTACCGTTTGCTTCTCTCCATTCCGTTTTGGTGGTGCTGCTGCTGATGCTGCCGAGAGGATGATTTTGCGGTTGCCAAAAATGAGAAATGTTGCACACAAAAGCCTCAAGGAAGTGGCGGACGTGCGGATAGGGGTGGCACAGCGTGCCGACAAGTTCGAGTTACACTTCACGCCGCAGCACGCTTTATGGATTTTCTTTCCAACACACACACACACACACACACACACACAGGACGAGACACACACACACTATCACGTCACGCATACGCGCATTGATTTTCCCTTACACTTCCTTTTGCTGCTATTCCTCTTGCTTTCTTTCTTTTTTGGGACATTTCAAGGTTTCTCTTTGATTTTGATTTTACTTACATTTCACGTTAAATTTCTGTTTCACTTTTGACACCAACAAAAATGTTGCACGCAAGCACTAAAAATACTACAAAAAAAGGAGCAGAGAGAGAGAGAAGAGACTGATGAGTGAGAGAGAAATGGGAAAACAAAACAAAACACAAATTTCCCAGCACACACACACACACAGAAACACTCTCTGCCTTGCCTTGCAGTGGGTGGGTAAAACTTTAACGCGGCGACAGCAGCAGCAACAATAACAACACGCGGTCCGTGGCAGAGTGTGTGCAGCCTAATAGGTGCAGCATTCACCCCCAGAGAGTGTCTCCTAATTACATATGCACATGTGCACTTCTGTACATGGTGGCATATACGAGGATTCGACGAGGATCGTGAATGCCGCTTTGCCGCTCACCTTATATATTAACACACCTTGTGTGGGCCTTTGGGACGCCCCTTCCTTTGTCCTTTTTACTACTTGGTGTTTGCTGATTGCTTTTGCCATTCGCTTTTGTCGGAGAGTGTAAACTTGGCCAACACACAACGAACCGAAATGGATAGACGAAACTGGTGGTGGTGGTGATGGTGGGAGGGGTAGCGACGGGAGGGGAAGGAAGCAGATTGAGTGTAGAGTGGAGCGTAGAGCGTAGAGCAGAAGCAGAGCCGTGTCTCTGAGTCTGAGTCGGCGTCCGAGTTGGGTCCGCGTCGTCAAGCGTCGCCTCCGACTGCCGCGTTTCGTGTGAAAGAGTCAACTGAAACTTGAAACTGCTGCTGCTGCTTCTGGCCTGCTGACTGCTGACTGCTGGCAGCTGGCTGCTGGGGGCTGAGGGCTACCTGCCTGGCTGCCTTCCAACCGCAACCGCAACCCCATGCAACATGTTGTGTTGAAGCTCGTCAAAGCTGCCTGCCCTCGAACTAGCGACTATTTCTACCTACTCGGCAGAAGCTGTAAGTATATTCGAAAGCTTCAACCAGCTTTCGATAGCTTTTGCTCCCTACAGTAATTTGCACCTTTTGCAGCTTTAAGTTGGAGTGCTACAAAGTGGTGTAATGGGAGTATGTCAGTGTCAAACTCCCAAAAGTATGCAAAAGTTTTGCCCTCTTTGCATTTAGAATTGCTATGAAATTCTTATGAGCCAAACGAATCAGGAAATACATATGTGTTACTTCCTTCTACTATGAGCTCTTTTCGTCCTTCCGGTGCTTCGTTGCAACCTCTTGCCTTTCTTTTGCCTTTCTTTCACATTGTAAACTTCAGAATGTGCTTGCGTTTTTTTTTAATAAGTAGTTTGGAAATTATTTTATTCAATGTATTTTATATTCATTCATTAGTTTCATATTTTCTGTTTCTAAACGTTGACACAAAAATACTTGTGTGTGTGTGTGTGTGTGTGTGTGTCTGTTTGTTTGCGTTCGTGTGTGAGAGAGAGAGAGTGTTGCCGTCTTCGTTTGTGTTTGCGTTTGTGGGTTTGGGCTTGTCTCTGTCCCGTAGGTTCGTTCATATTCGGGTGCAGTGTGTCCCGTAACTGTCTCCGTCTCGTGTCTCATGTCTCTGTGTGTGTGTGTGTGTGTGTGTGTGTGTTTGTGTGTGAGCGCCAATATCTGATTTGGACATAGCTTAAGTTTTAAATACAAGTTTTTGCTTTCATTGATCTCATTTAAATATTCTGTGTACCATTTAAATGCATTTTGGGAAAAAATTTCAAAGAATGTATTTTACGAGTAGTTTTTTCGCTGGTTTTTGCCTATGTCTTACCCATCGCTTTTGTTTTACGTTTTTGTTTTTGTTTTTGTTTTATTTATTGGTTGTGTGATTTGATTTGATTTTTGTTGTTTGTATAGCTTGGAGTTTTGAGGGGACTGTTTGTTGCATTGCCTCCCTGCACTCCTCGTTTTCGGCGTGCCAAGAGTCTTATAATACATCCATTTATATCTGTCTGTGTATGGGTTGGTATGGGGTATAGACATGTGTACGTATATATAACTATTTATTCCACCATCATTGTATACATAGAATTTACTCTGGTTTTTGCTTTGCTCTTTGGTTTCATCTTTTCTTTCAATCAGAAATATATCTTCAATATCATATATATGTATAGGTTAGGTCTTTGAGAGGGCTTTTGGTTAGTGGGCATTGGAGGGGCATTTGCTGATTGCTGTGTTGCCAAGTGCATTTGTTACAGGGTTGCCAGGTTGCATAGAATGTATGGTATGTGTCTTTAATTTACACGTACTATTTGCTCTTTATTCATTACGTTTTTATGTAGCTTAGACAACACAATAGGCTCGGGTAACATGTTCAAGTATCTTTTTCTTAATTCTGTTTTTTTTATATTCATATGTTTCGAGTGTGTGGTGTTCCAGAGCTGCCGTTTTGCTGCACGATATGCACTGCAGGCTACTGCACGGTTTGTCTGGGTGAATTGGTTTCGGGGTTTTCTCTTACAAATTATTGCTATTTGTTTATGTATATTTATATATAGTTCTATTCGGTACATGTATATAGTAGGTATATATCGTTCAGATTCATTGACATCAAATTTTAAAGTGTACCTAAATGGCATGGTGTTACCCCTGCAAAAGCCCGTACGAAGTATCCTGCATTTTGCAAGGGTATACCAGGCATCGGGTGTTGCTCAAAGCGTTCTTTTTCGTGTGTGCATCGTTCGGCAAGAGGAGAACAAAACCGTTTCCAGTATACATAGTACATCTATAATACATATTTGGCTTTCTATTCACCACTGCCATTACTGCTGTTACTGCTGTTGTGTGTGTGTGTGTGTGTGTGTGTGTGTGTGTGCGTGCGTGAGAGAGCATCTAAGCTTCGGCCTGCCGAAGAATGCTGTTGCAGGATTTTCATTTTGCTTAAAATTTCATTTTAAAGTTTTAGTTTACTCTTCTTTTTTTTTTGGTTTTGTTTTCCTGTTTGTTCTGTTGTTTGCTTTATGTTTTTGGGTTTTTGTATATTCAAATGTTAGTCTTTAGTATTTTGCATCTGTGTGTGTGTCTTTTCAAGTGTCAGTTTTCTCAGGAGGGTCACTAGTACATAAATACATACATACATATATAGTTAGTTGATTTAGTTCGAGTTTAAGTTGAATGTAGCTTTAGTTGTAGTTGTAGTAGTGAGACATTGCCTATCCTATCGAGTGTTTGGGCATACATGTATCAGGGGCAGGACTATGGGGTACATACATACATTTATCGTCGTGGATCGTGTGTGGCTCATGCATGGGTGTGTGGTCCATTATCGGTGGTTGATGCTACCACATTGGGTTACAGCTCTGCGGATGATGTGGTTATGCTCTCTCACTCTACTCTCTCTCTCTCTCTCTCTCTCTCTCGCTATCTCTTCAGTTGAGAGTAACGGCCCTACTCTCTCTCTCTCTCTCGCTATATCGTTCTCTCTTTGTTGTGCAGCCACTCGGCAGTGTCCTTGAGTTGGGCTTTGCTTGAGTCTGAGTATGCCCACGCGCTCGCAGGACCTTTGTGCACATGTCTGTGTGTCTGTGTGTGTGCGTTTAGGAATGTGTGTTGTTTTATTGTTGGAAACCGTTTTGGAATATTTCTCTTAAATTTGTAGTTTGCTTTTAGTATGCTTTGAGTCGCTGCTTTGTAAGTTAAGTAGAAAATTATAAATATTAAGTTGCATGCAGGCCAATCCACAGGTGCATTCGTGATAGGGTTTGGATATGGGCTAGGGATACGGTTACGGAGAAGTAGTAATGCCATCATCATCCTCCTCCTCCTCATCTAGGTCTCTGTCTCTGCAGCTTCTGCAGCTCAGTTTCTTTTTTTCTAGTTCTTTTTCTTTTCTATTGTAGTAGCTGTCTGCTCTCTCTTTTTACGAGGGTTTTTTGTATTCAGTTTTTCCTCTTCTTTTTCGCTCTGACCTCTACCTTCTTCTTTGTGAGTGTGTTTGTGTGGAGACCTACAAGTTTTGCACTTATGACGATATGTGGAGCTACTTTTGTCCTATAATTACATAGATCCTGTATCCATTTGTCTCCAGTAATAAGTAGCTGTATCTGTATCTGTGGGTGTGAATGTATTCGGTTCTGCTTAGTGGCATAGAGTGGGTCACATAGGGGTATGGTCGGTTGTGTAGTCAAGTTGGTCCAAATTGCGCATACCCTTGTCTAAGGATATTTCAAATATGTCATAGGTACACACAAACATTTTGCCTTTTGGAACATTATAATACCGCCCCGGATACACAGATTAGATCCATAGGTGGGGGGGCTCATATCTAGCTACCAAGTTTTGGAAGGGGGAAAAGCGTTTAATTGACTGCCAAAAAGTACACTAAATATAGTACAGACATATACACTGAATATCATGTGGAAATACCCCTGCAATGATTGTTTAATTCTCTGTCGTTATCTGCTGTTCGAATTTCATGGCAATGATCGTCTCTGTCTGCCCCAAAAATATCCTCACAGCCATTGCAGGGGCATATTGTGGTTCGGCCAGCCGAATCTGGGCCCATCTTTCATCTCATTGTTTCTTGCCCCAAAGAATTATCTCTTTTGGGGTTGGGGGCGGGTTTCCTTTCAGAGCTCTAAACTAGTTTTAAATTATGCTTAAAATGGTTTACATTTATGTTTTGTTTTTTCCGTGTGTTCCTTTGGGTTCAGTTTTGTTTTTATTTTGTTTTTGTGTGTGTTTTTATACATACATTTGTAAAACATTTAGAGTTTTCATTTATTTTTTTGTTGCTTTTTGCTTTTTTATTTATTATTTGTAGATGCGGTATCTTTAAGATAAATATTTATGTAGGTATATTTATATTTATTACATTTATGTATATATATATATTTCTTTATTTATATATGTATAGTTTAGTTTAGTTGTTTGGTTTTGTTGGAAAGTTGTTTTGTTGTTTTGTTTTTTTGTTTTTTCATTTGTTGATTTTCAATTAAATTCAAGTTTTAGTCTTTATGTTTGGTTTTTTTGCATTCAAACAAGGGAAATTGTGTGGGAAACATACATACAAACATACGAGTAAATATATGTATATAAATATAAAATGCTGCGACCTGGGCGAGTGCTTTCACACGTTTCTCGTCACTAGTCACTAGTCACTCGTCAGAGGCGTCGAAAGTTCACCCCTACAGCTGCAGCAGTGGTGCAGCAGTGGTCGTGTGTAGTTTGTAGTAGTAGAATCAGTAGTACATCAGTAGTAGTTAGTATAAGGCAACAAATCAATTTGATGTGTTTGCTACACAAGTACATACGCACATACATACATACATACTGACATGCATGTCAGTTTGGGGTACACGGGCAGTCTGCTAGTTTGCTAGACTTTAACTATCATTTTAGGTACAATCTAGACATCCAGCAAGTCGCGTTGGCCACTTCAAAGTGCTCCTGTTACAGCTAAATACATAAATACATACATACATACATCAATAGGTTCATTAAACTAACAACTAGCTGAAAAGTCTAACTACGCGAACGAACAATATTCCTGTGCTGCTCAGGCCATACAATACGCAACGCACTGTACTCGTATCTGCATGTCTTTCTGGTGACTTATGCGCTACAAAAAATACACTTAGAGGACACCCAGAGGCAACATCAATATGAATATCAGTTTATATTAACATCAAGAATGCAACGCACACACTCACACACACACACACACACACACACGCTGTTGTAGGGGGATGTGTGAAATGACAGTGAGGCTGCAATTACAATGCACAATTAATTAGTTAGCTTTTTAGACACTTAAATGTACGTACATCAAGTAAACATCCATTAACATCCATT